ACCCTGATTCGCCTTTTTCTCCCCAGGTGCAGTCCGGAGCCTGCCTTGGGGCAATGGCTGCTCTGGTGTGCCCCCTACCCTTACCACCTCCAGTAGGGTTCATCATCCCAGTTTATAGACAGAAAAACTAAGATTAGAGGGAGAGAGATTGGCTCCTGCTCAGAGCAGACCTTCAACATCTTTACCTCCCTGGACCTGGCACCCTCCCAAGGGGACTGCAACCAAGGTTATGAAAATAGCATCTACTCACCATCCTCTCTCAGTTCACCCCCAACTAACCCACCCCCTCAGTCCCACCCCTGTCTCAAAGAGACTGAGCCCTGAGAGGCACAGCTTGCTGTACCTCCTCACCCCTCAGCCTGCTTTCCTAGTCTATCTGCAATGTCCTCAAGTCCTTTCCCATCCTCCTCATCCAAACTCCAAGACCTGCCTATACCTCACGCCCCTCCAGGAAGCCCCCTTCATGACCTGGGTTCACTCCCTGCCATGACTGTCCTTCCTCACCAGCCTAGCACCAAGCCTTGCAATGCTCTCTATTAGTTATTTCCTGCACAGAAAAGGGGTGAGGGAAGCATCATTTCTGCCTATGTCTGTTCACACGCAAGGCTGGCTCTGCCTTCCCAGGGACCCTTCTGCAGAGGGAGACCACTCATCAGGCAGGCACCACCTGCAGGGGTCTCACTCAGGTAAAGCTGATGGACCTCAGTCCTGTTCAGAGTACAGCTATACAGGCTGGAAGCCTCCAGGAAACAGTTCCTATTTTCCCTGTGGTGTCTGTATGGGTGTGTACTGTATAGGGTATAGGTTGTATAGAGTCTGCAGGTAAACGTGCCTGTGTGTCAAAGAATGAGCATGTGAGTGTGTGTGTTCATGTGTCAGTGTAAGAATGCCTCTGTGTTTATGAGTGTGAGAGGGTCATACAGGTGGAACACTCTGTTGATGAAAAGAGTCAAACTCTGTAAAAAAAAAAAAAAAAATTTTTTTTTTTGAGATGGTGTCTCTGTCACCCAGGCTGGAGTATAGTGGCACAATGTCAACTCACTGCAACTGCTGCCTCCTGGGTTCAAAGAATTCTTCCTGCTTCAGCCTCCCTAGTAGCTGGGATTACAGGTGCCCACCACCATACCTGGCTAATTTTTGTATTTTTTAGTAGAGATGGGGTTTCGCCATGTTGATCAAGCTGATCTTGAACTCCTGACCTCAGGTGATCCACCCTCCTCGGCCTCCCAAAGTTCGGGTATTACAGGCTTGAGCCACCGCACCCAGCCTGTAAAATATTTTAAGAGATTTCTTCTGAGCCAAATATGAAAGACTATGGCCCATGACACAGCCCTCAGGAGGTCCTAAGAACACGTGCCCAAGGTGGTTGGGGTACAGCTTGGTTTGATATATTTTAGGGAGGTATGAGACATCAATCAACTACATTTAAGAAATACATTGGTTTGGTTCAGAAAAACAGAACTACTCAAAGTGGGGGCTTCCAGCTATAGGTAAATTGAAACATTTTCTGGTTGACAATTGGCTAACTTGTCTAAAGACTTGGGATCTATAGAAAGGAATGTTCAGGTTAAAGATGAAGGACTATGGAGACCAAGGTTTACTGTGCAGAGGAAGCTCTCAGATAGCAGACTTCAGAGAAAGCAAGTTCATATTTAAAAGAGTGCCTGGCTCTTACTTAGTTGATTATCTCCTGGATCTGGAAAGCAAGGAAGGAAAACAAAGGGGGAAGGAGAATCTCTATAGAATGTGAATTTTTTTCCCACAAGAGACTTTGCAGGGCAATTTCAAGATATGACAAGGAAGTAGGTTTTGGGATTAAATATTTTTTCCTTGTCTCATAATGTTATGCCAGAGTCAGATTGAAAAGTAAGTCACAACATATAGGGTCAAATAAAACCCATCTGATAAGAATGTATGTTTTGTAGGGCTTGGCTCCCTAGACCCTTAGGTAGGAATTTGGATAAGACAAAAAATCAGAGCTTAGTCCTCAATTCCTAATGCAACCTTCTGAGATCCAAAACGCTCCAAAATCTAAAACATTTTTTAGCACTGACATAATGCCACAAGTGGAAAATTCCACATTTGCTTCGATGTGCACAAACTTTGTTTCATGCACAAATTATTTAAAATATTGTATAAAACTGCTTCAGGCTGTGTGTATACAAAACATAAATGGATTTCGTCTTTAGCTTGGGGTCTCATTCCCAAGATATCTCATTATGTATATGCAAATATTCCAAAATCAAAAAAAAAAAATCTTAAATCTGGCCCCAAGCATTTTGGATTAGGGATACTCAGCCTGTATGTGAATGGACAGGAGTAAGACTGCCAACCGCACTCCCCTCCCCTACCACCCCACCCTTACCCTTGTCTGACCTCTGGGGAGGTGAGGACAGTAAGGGCTGGACACCACCTGGTGGCCATGAGCTGCACTACAAACCACACACCCCTAACTCCTTTCTCCCCGCCCCCTACTCCAACTCACATACACACAGACACACACATGCTAAGAGTTGATCCCAGCTCTTAGCTCTTTCTCTGGGGCCTCAACCAACGCCCTACAATAGTTTTGTAAAGACTGAAGATGGAGACCCATCCTTCTGAGTCTCCCTCCTCTATCCCAGGGAGGGAGGGAGGATTCAGACAGGTGGGGCTCACATCCTAACCTTGGTGCATTACTTAACCTCTCTGAACCTCAGGCAACTTGACAGCAGAATAGACTAACAGTGTCTGCTGGAATCATTGCAAGATTTAAATAACATGCAAAATGAAGCCATTAAGTTGGCAGAGCAGGACTGCTTACAGGAAGCCAATGGGGTCAAGCCTTGTGTTCTGTAACCTGGTGAGGGCTGCCCTCAGGCTCTGTGCAGAGCCTCCTCCCATCTGTCCTCCCTCCCTTCCTCCCACCTCTCCTCCCTGGGGAACCCCAGACAGCTGTCTTGCTCACCTTTGCAGGGAGCTCCCCCCCGCCAGAGGCTCTACCCAATACCTGTTGTGGGTGAGGGTGATGCTGAGCAGAGTCCCCATGGCTCGCCTTGGAGTGGCATAGACCCCACTTCCCAGGGCCCCTCCAAGTCCTCCCTCTGCATCCCCCATCTCATTGGTCACCACGTTCTGCCAACCCAGCATCTCTTAAATTCCTCTCCTTGCCCAGCCCAGGGTGAGCATCACATATCACCCATAGAATAATCCCTGCCCACCCTCTCCCTTTGCAATCACATCCCTGCTCTCCAGGGGCATCTTTCTAAAATGCACTTCTGAGTCACTCTCCTGCTGAAAACCTTTCTCTATTTCTCCACTGCCCACAGAATAAAGCCAAACTCCACAAGCTGGCATTTAAGGCCCTTCGTGATCTGGCCCTGCTTCCTCCTCCATCCCTCAGCTCCTCCAACTGCCAGTCCCTTCCCTTCTCGGGGCCTTTGCAAAAGCAGTTTCTTTTACCAAGCAGGAGTGCCTGTCACCTTTTGCCTGTAGGAAAACAACATCTGCTCATTTTTCAAGCCTCACTGTTGTTCTCAGGGTTCTGATCCTGCCTGGAGCCCCATGGCGGGCACCCCACAGTGCTGTTGGGGCCTGCATCTGAGTTTGGATCTATCTCTCCAATCAAACTGTGAGACTCTCCAGCCCAGGACAGAGACAAAGTCAGCCTCGGCCCTCGCACAGGGCCCTGCATTCACGGGGAAATAACTGTGGCTGTTCCCTCCATTTGCTGAAAAACAGGATGTGTCACAGAATGGGCCTCAAAGGAGGGTTGGGCTGGGGGCAGACAGCAGATGCAGGGTCAAGCTCCCCCTTGCCCAAAGGCTTATGGAAGACGAACACACGAACACATTCAGGGTTAGGGGTCAGGCAGAAGAGCAGCCACATCAGCCCACAGTGACCCTGGAGTCAGCTAGGCACCATTAGAATAGCCATCTCTTATTGGCCTTGGTCCACGAACTGACAACTCCCACCCCCACCTGCGGACTCACTGGCCAAGCCTGGGTCCTGTGCTGTGAGCGGGTAGAGACAGACTTGGGGAGCCCAAAGCAGGAGCCAGGAGGGACAGGAGCCTGGAGCCACATGACACTAAAGGAAGCTGGAGACCTGGAGACCATTCAGCCAGAGGAGCAGATTCCAAACCCAGACATGCTGGAGGGGTGGAGGGAGCTGCAGAGGAAGCAGAGGGGCTCTGTGGTCCCAAAGGCAAGGCTGGTAATGGCTGATGGTCACAAGATGGCCCTGTCCATCTCCTTCCTGCTCTCGCCACGAAAGGAGACCTCAGTGCCCGCCCTCTCAACACATCACCTTTACTGATCAGGAAGAAATGAACAGGGAGACAGGGGTAGGTAAGTCAGGGACAGGGCCTGGAGACTGCCAGGCAGAGCCACTTTGTGGCCCCAACCTGGAGTCTGCCATCTTGGACTGGGTGGAAGTGAACGCTCTCACGTGGAGAAAAGCAGGGACTAACTCCTCAGACACAACTCGGGGCTGGATCTGGTGTGTAGTCCGACTCAGGGGTGGCCCCTCGGCAGGACTCAGAGAAACTGGGATGTGGGACTTGCTGGGACACAGATCACTGTACACAGGTATCACTGCAGCTAGGAACAGGGCTCAGAGGCCCAGGCCCTTGCCATATGGGCACTCATGACCAGGGAAGGCCAGCACTGGGAAGGTCTAGGACGAGCTTCAGGCTACCTCCTCCAGGCAGCCTACCTGCTTGCCTCTACCTCTCAGTTTTCCATCTACTCCACAATCTCTGCCAGCCAACATGTAGCATCACTGCTCCCTGGCCAGGCCTTCTCATCTGCCGCCCACCCCTTAGCTTCCACGATCTGGCACAGGGCTAGCCCAGGGAGTACCCCAGCAGGTCTAAATGACTCTCCCAGAAGAGGGGCTAGGCACCAAGGGTGGGGGACTTAGGAAGCCATGGAGTTCCAAAGAGCATTTGCCTCTCCCAGTTCTACTCCCCTCTTCACCCACCCCAAGCACAAAGTCTGCAAACAGCCCCATGGGGGAGGACTGGTAGAAAGAAATAGATTTATTCTCATGTACAAAGCGGTCAGCCCACGGGACCATATACGACAGTTGCACAGAGTCCTAGAAAAACGCATCTCTCTAAAGGCAACTCAGAAAGGTAAGGCAGGTGGCCCCCCTCCCCCACCCCACAACGCACACAGAACGAAACAGAGAAAAAGAGAGAAGCCAGTGGCCGGGCTGACCCAAGAGTCCCGACCCTATGGGGTCTCCCAAGCCCCAGGGCACAGGTGGATATGGCCTTGAAAAGAGAGCCCTGCCAGGGCTGAGGCCAGGTCTCTCACTGGCTGCAGGAATGGGGAAGGGGCTCAGGCCAAGGGGGGCGCCTCTGAGGGACACAGGGGGCTCTGAGGGATACAGGGGGCTCTGAGGGATGCAGGCTTGGGCTCTCTGTGCCCTAGGGTGGCAGAAACATTCCACAGCCTCTGCTGGGACTCCGCAGAGCTACAGAGCTATTTTAGACATTGATCTCAAATGGATCTTAGAGCATGGATTATCTTACCCTCCTGTTTGGCCCAGACAGGGGAAGAGACTTGCCCAGTGTCACACAGGCCGGAGGAGGCAAGGCTGGCTCATACCTGGGCCTGTTTCCCAGTACGGGGATCCTTCCTGCCCATCAGCCCCATCCTGCCTTCTTCCCGAGCCCCCTCTCCACAGAGCATTGAGCTGCTCCTCTGGCAGCTTCCTCTTGGGGCCCCTGTATCCCCCAGGTCCCAATCCCACCGTCAGTATAGTGGTGGTCCTCAGGGCGCTTTCGCCGAGGCTGTTTCTAGTCCTCCCATAGAACTAAGGACTGTTTCTAAGACGCCACACTCTGCTCACTCAGATGTCTCACCTTCCCCTTCCATGAGGATCCTGAAGACCCTAAGGGGTGGGAATCCCCTAAGGGAAAGGAGCAAAGATCTGGTGGGACAGGAATGGGGCAAGGAGAAACCATCAAGCTGCTCAGACAAAGAATGGCTTGGGAAAAACTCGCCAAGGTGTGATCAGAGGTGCAGAGCAGGGCCCACTGCTCATTGGTCACCCCTGTGCTCTCAGAGGACAAATTACAAAGTCTCCGTGAGGCTGGAAGTCTTGCTTCCATTATACAGACGAGAAAGCTGAGGCCCAGGAAGGTGGTACTTGTCCAGGGTCACACAGGAAGTCCTGGTCTAGGACCCAGGACCTGTGGCTCTGTTCCCAGTGCATCTGGCCAGGCCAGTGGAGGGCTGTGGGAGGTGGCCTGGGCCGGGAAGGGTCCCTGGAGGGGATCACTCAGCATCAAGGCTGCAGCAGCCATTGATGGGGCCCCTAGTGCCATGCAGATCAGGCACCTCGTACTCCTCATCCAGGAAGTCCAGCGAGTTGTTGCTTGGGAGGCCGCGGATGGTGAACTTGTGGGACACCTTGGTCCAGTGCTCACGGTTGGAGGCCACACGCTCATACAGCTCTGCTGCTTTGGGGAACAGGTCCTGCAAAAGCCTGTGGGTGTACAGGGGCAGGACGACAGGTAGAAATCAGACCATGGGCAGCAAGAAAGAAGAGGGCTACACAACACAGAACTTCCACAAGGGCCAGCACGATGGCTCACACCTGTAATACCAGCACTTTGGAGGCCGAGGCGGGCAGGTCATCTGAAGTCAGGAGTCCAAGACCAGCCTGACCAACATGGTGAAACCTCATTTCTACCAAAAATACAAAATTGGCTGGGCACAGTGGCTCACGCCTGTAATCCCAGCACTTTGGGAGGCTGAGGCGGGTGGATCACGAGGTCAAGAGATCAAGACCATCCTGACCAACATGGTGAAACCCCATCTCTACTAAAAAATACAAAAATTAGCCGGGTGTGGTGGTGCGCACTTGTAGTCCCAGCTACTCAGGAGGCTGAGGCAGAAGGATCACTTGAACTGGGAGGCGGAGCTTGCAGTGAGCTGAGATTGCACCACTGCACTCCAGCCTGGTGTCAGAGCGAGACTCCATCTCAAAAAACAAAACAAACAAAACAAAATTATCCCAGCTGGTGGAAAGTTGTAATCCCAACTACTCAGGAGGCTGAGATAGGAGAATCGCTTGAACCCAGGAGGCAGAGGTTGCAGTGAGCCAAGATCATGCCATTGCACTCCAGCCTGGGCAATAGAGTGAGACTCCACCTCCAAATAAAAAAACTTCCACAAGAGTGTGAGGCACAGGACTGGACACCCAGGAAAGCATGATGGTCTTTTTTCACTAGGGACCAAGAACGAAGTGAGGGGCCCATTGAGGGGTACAGCAGGTGGCAGTTGTGCCCAGAGGCAGGGGGGTGAATTAGTTGGAGGTGGGCCAGGCCAACCTCAGCACCTGTGTTTGCTGTGATGTCCCCGCTCCAGCCCACCCTCTCTGTGTACGGTGCCAGCTGGTCCCTGTGAGCTCACTCACTTGTAGATGGGCATTGCAATGTGTTCCATGAAGCTGATTTGCAACTCGGGGATATAGGCCTTCTCCCGGTCCATCATCTCCATCGGCCTGTTGCCCATGGCCTTCTCCTGCAGGCATCAAGTTGTCAGGCCTGTCCCTCTCATTCCTCCATCAGGTACTAGGTTCAGGCTAACCCAAGCCCTCCCAGCCCCAGGCCAGGAACCCTCCCCCAACCTAGACATCCTGGGGTGACTCCACACATACCAGGTCTCCCTGGGAGAAGAATTCTTTGTAGATCAGCTCCTGAAAGGCCAACACACTCATCACATCCTGCACCCAAGCTCCTCTGACAGCCCATTCCCAGGAGAGAAACGGAGGCCCAGTGATTCAGTCCCAGGTCAGGAGCTGTCCCCACCAGCCCCAGCCAGGCAGGAAGGAGCGGCTGGGTTGGGGCCCGTCTTCCACCAGCCACTGACTTGTTAGGTCTGTTCCCCTCTCTGAGTCTCCATTTGTCACCCTGAGATGGTCTAGGTTTCTGTCTCCCCAGAACACAGCCAGGCTGAGCTGAGCAAAGAGAAGGTGTTCAGGCTGCAGGAGGCACCCAGAAACAGGCAGGGTGGGCAGCCTGTGCCTTCCCAGGGAGGACAGCACCTACCGCGATCTTTCTCGTGGTCTTCCAGCCCTTGGTCTGGTCAGAGAGGTCACAGGAGGTCATGAGGAGGCAGAGGAGGAGTCTGTGGTGCTGCTTGTTGTTTCGGTCATAGCCCACTGTTGGGGGGAGGGTGGGGTCAAGGAGTGAACTGGGGAACTCCTTGACCTTCTGAGGACAAGTCTCCCAGGGCCCACCCCAGAGTGGTCCAAGGAATTGAGCACTCCTGATGGGAGCCAAGGGTCCAGTGCTGGGTCTGCCTGGTGGGGCCGTGCAGCCAGAAAGGGTTATTGCTGCAGGGGATGGGTTTGCACCCCTGGGAATGTTCCCCTGGCAAATCCTCCCCCTGGTTGTTCCTCCCTAGCCCAAAGGCCTGGAGCTAATGGCAGTCACCCTCAGCCATCTTCTGGAGGTCCTTAAAGATGCGGAGATGGTGGGCTAAGTCCGTGGCCAAGATGATGTCCCGCATCAAGTCCAGCATTCGCTGATAGTCCTGGGTAGAGGGCAGGGGCATCATGGCCTCCTGCTGGACACCCCCACCCATTTGCCCATCCCAGTGAGCCTCCACTCCTCCCGCCTCCAGCCAGCTCCCAGCTTCCCCTTATTCCCCACCCCCACCCTCAACCCCATCACCTTCCGGGAGAAATGATCAAAGATGTTGCAGCCATGGGTGTTGAGGATGGCGATGGCCTGAGCAAAGTGGTGCCTCTGTGGGGAGAAGAGTGATGGGGCCCGGCTAGGGCAGAGGGGCTCCCTTCACCATTGACCCCAAGAAAGGAAGCAGGGCCTGGTCCAGCTCCAGCCCCGAGGTCAGCAGAGCAGGCAGAAAGAGGGAGTCAGGGGCCCCAGCTCCCTTCCTGAGCTCTGTTTCAGCCCTCTCTCTGACCCAGGGCAAGTCCCTAGACCACTCTGAGCCTCAGACTCCTCAGCTGTCACATGCACGGACCCAGCAAGGTAAGCTCTGGGGTCCTCGAAAGCTGGAACATTTTTGAAATGATCCCGTGGAGTCCTAGACACTAAATCATGCAGAACACACTATTTTGCTGACAAGGAGAGGCAGTGATGAGGCGAGGGCAAGGCCCCTGTTTCCAGATGCTGAAAGGGCTGTCACTCAGAAGAGGAGCAGCTTATCCCAGGGGCAGAGGGTGGAACTAGCATTGCCACCAGCCCTCCTGGGAGAGCCTTATCTCTCGGGGTGTGCAAGTAGGGACAGCCTCTGGAGTAAGGTGACCTTGGCAATGTGTCTCCTGCTCTGTGCTAAGCCCTGTGCCAAGTGCAGGGAACTCAGAAATGGCTCAGACCTTGTGCATGCGGAGGTAGGCAGACCCAAACCAAACAATCTAAGGTGATGCCAAGTGATGGGAGTGAAGCCCATCCCAAGCTTGGCAGGAGCGGGCTGAATGGGGTTCCCAGACGGCCAAGGGGAAACGCACTGAACACAAATCCTCACTACCATCTGCACCTGCGCCCTTCCAAGCCCACCCCAGGAAAACGAGCCAGATGCGTCCTAGGTGTGGCTACAGCTCTCACAACCTGTCTGGAGAGCTTGGTTTGGGAATGGGAGGAGCTGGGTCATGCTTTGCAAGTCACTGGCCTTAAACGGAAAGGAGGGTGGGGATGGGACAGAAGAGTGATACCTCCATGACGGAGCCCTCAGAGCTGTAGAGCGCAGCCAGCACAGATTTCTGGAAAAGCCCAGGAAAGCTGTGGTCACTCCTCACATCCGGATCCAAGTGCCACTGCTTTAGGCTAAGCAGTGTCCTGCCCTTCCCGCCCTTCCCCCCGTCCCTATCTCAGAGCACAGGGCAAACCCTGGGGGAACCTCCTCCTGTCTCTAAACCTGGCTCCTGGTCTCACTTGCTCCCACCTGTCTTCAGGCTGGGAGAGGATGAGACTTCCAGACTCCCCATGGAGGGTCCCCACTGTGAGCAGGGCAGGGTCTCACCGAGGCCACCTGGAAAGAGTTGTTTGTGCCCCTGTGGTCCAGGTCGTGACACATGCAGGAAATAAACAAGGCAAAGATCTCGATGTCCCTGGTTGGGAGGCAAAAAAGAGAAAAAAAAAAGAGGTCAGTCCACAGCACCCTCCCCAGAACCCCCAGAGGAGAGACAGCTGGAAGACGTGCCCAGGAACCACTGGAACGGGAGGTTGGGACATCTGGGTTCCCTTCCTGGAAAGATGCACTGGTTTGGAGTCCAGCAGACCTTAGTTTAAATCAGGCTCAATCTTCACTGGCTGCAAGACTGTGAGCAAACCCCTCCTGAAAGATGGGGCATGCCGCCTTCCCTTCTAGTCCCCTGGGGCTAAGACGCTTCCATGAGGTGGTGTGTGTAACGTGCCTGACACACATGGGGATGCTTCCCTGTCCCAGGTAAGGGGACCCCAGCAGCTGCTAGATGTGGGGGAGATGCAACCACTCACTCGAGGTAGTTGGTGAGCTCCAGGTTCTTGTAGAGCAGGTAGCAGAAGTGGGAGACAGAAAAGGCGTGCATCCAGTTGTGGTAGGGGGGATCCCGGTAGCCCTTCTTCACCATCAGACAGAACCTGGGGGAGGGGAGAAGGCAACAGAGGCGCCTCAGCCTCTCTTCCTGTATCATAACCCCATGATGGTAGACTAAATTTCCCCCCATCCCTGAGGGAGCGTCCATAGCCTTCCTTGATGACTCTGCTTAGCTGGAAGTTCCTATGCACATCTAACTTAAACCTCTGGCTACACACTCTCAGCCTTGTCTCCAGGCTCTGCTTTGCCCCATTTCTTGCCTTTACTGACAGTTCGGTGTCTAGGAATTGCTTCTCACTCGTGGATCCTCCCCACCCCCATAAGACTGGGTCTCCCTAGTCATCCTTAGAGAGAGCCTCTCCAGAATGCCAGGGGCAATGGATGTGACAGCGGGGGAGAGAGGGAGGCGAAGACGGGCTGTCTGCATGCGGACGAACCGGGCCAGGGTTGGGCAGTCAATTTTGTAGTTGTTGATGAAATTCATGTCCTGCAGCATGCTCAGGATGGCCTGGAGAGGACAGAGGGAGGGATCAGAGACGCTGCCAATATTAAGATAGGGCCCCTGCCTGGGCCCTTCTTTAAGCTCCACACTCAAAATCTGGAGTCTTAGAAACTTAAATCTAAACTAGAGAACCAGAAAATAATTGAAGCAACCATTCTCAGAGCTATGAAGTTTTAGAAATCTAAGAGATCTAAGAACTAAGAACTCTTGAAACCAAGCCCACACAAAATCTTAGAAAAATGGGATTGGTGGGGTGGATGCAAACCCTGAGGTCACATGCCCTGGGCACTGATGGTCCAAGAGCAGCCCTTGGGATCATCCAGTCCAGCCCCTAGCCCCTGGGCAGGCCCCATAGCCTCATGATGGCAGACTACATGCCCCTCCACCTCTAAGGGACACTCCACAGCTTTCCTTGATGACTCTGTCTTACCAGGAAGTTCTTTATGCACATTTAACTGAAGCCTCACATTTAACTGAAGCCTCTGGCTACATAGCCTTGGCCTCACCAGTCAAGTAGAGGAGAGCAGCTCACCATAGATGTGTCATCCTCCGGCAGAGAACGAGGGGTATAGGTGAAACTGGCAAAGTTGGTGTCAATGGCAGCCACAGGCTGGATCCCATCATGGAGAAGTTTGGTGTACTCATCATCAGAGACCTAGAGGAGACCAGCCAGGGCATTAGAAGACAGCCTTCACCCCATCTGGTGTCTTCACTCTCAAATTCCCATGACAGGTGGGGAATCCGTCATCAAGAATGCCACAGTTGGGCCACCATGCTGTGGACTGTCACTGGGCAGAAAATCACCACCCTCCCCTCACAGCCCTGCAGCCCACCCCATGTGCCTCCCTGCGGTGACCACCCTTTATCCGTAACAACCTAACCTTGGCAAAGATGGAGAACATCCCTTCATGACACCCCCAAACCATAGCAGCATTTCATACACAGTAACCCTACCAGTTCTCCTTTTGTGGGGACCTTCCTACTGTCTAACCCCAACTCTTCCTGCTACAGTTTTGATCCAGCTCACAAGGTCTGGGCCTCTCTGGTTTGGACACAAGTGAGAGGAAATGTCCAAATGAACAGTGACTACCATATACATGGAACTCAGCCAGCTTTTCCCAGACCAGGGTCTGGGAATGAGAGAATATCAGCAATTAGGACTGCCTAGGGCTGCACGGCCATTGTACCTAGAAAAGCCATGGCGGCAGGTCCTGGGTGAGCTTCCTAGCCCTCAGGAATTCCCAAGACAAGAATTATTCCCTAAACATGGGGAATACCTCGCTCAAACAAGTTATTCCCTGGGCTGGGTCCTCTGGCTACTTCCAGCCTTGGGACTGAGCTCAGAAGCAGCTTGGAGGAGAGGTCTGTAAGCAGAGGCGGGAAATGCCCCTACGGAGGGCAGGAGGCCTGCTGTGGCTCTGGGCCTATCCTCTCATCCTCAGTAGAGATCGATCAGGAAGCCCTGCCTGGCCCTGGCTTCCTGAGGAACCTGGGAGGAGGACTAGAGGTCCTTGCAAGCCTCACCTTCATGTGATACATCATCATCTCGTTGGCCAGGTGGCTGCGATACTGAGCCTCATTCACTTTTTTGTATAGGAGAGACTGGGGGAGAGAGGGAAGATGGGGCTCAAGAAGGCTGGCTGTGAAATCTTGTCCCTTGGACTGGGACAAAGGGATCAGAAAGATACCCCACTTTCTGTCTGATTCTGGCCCCAGTCAAAACCTTGAAGCTCCAGTCCAGAGTAAAGACCCCACCCTCACTTTCATCCAGACACCCCACTCCACCCATCCCTCCTCACCAAGTCCTCCTGGCAGTCTGGCCCTTTGCACCCCCAGTGCCAAGGAGAAGCAAGGAGGGAGTCATATCAGGGACATTGGGGCTGGATTCCCAGGCCAGAGCACCAGCAGGCCTCGACACCGAGACCCAGCATTTCCAAAAAAGCACCTGGCTTGGGTTGAGACTGCTTCTAGGGAAGGGAGGAGGTTTCACAACGGGAGTTTCTCTTGGTCCTGGGAGGCTGAGTGGACAGGGTAGGAAAACGTATCCCCAATTTTTAGATGGGAAACTGAGCCTAGAGGTGGACAGCGTGTCCTGAAGGCTGCACAGCACCCCAACAGCGGGACTTTGAGTACCAGACCAAGGGATCAACCCACAAGGAGAGCTAGTCGGGGAGGAGAACCGAGGGTCCCGCGTAGGCCCCGCCCCATCGCCCTACGTCCCACTCCCACCCCGCCCTCACATGGGCGATGCTGATGCCGCAGTAGATGGAGAAGGCCGTCGCCAGGTCCTCATCAAACTTGCTGAACCACGGCCCATTGATCTTGTTCACCAGCTCGGCCACACCTATGACCTCTGGGGAATGGAGAGGGGCAAGGAACCACTGGTGGAGGGGGGGATCCAGTGGAGGGAGGGATCCGGCGGGAACCAGTCCTCGCAGTTTCCGCAAGTGATGTCCCAGGCAAGGAACCCGACTCCCTCTGCTCCCGGACTCCGGAGGAGGTGGGGAAGGGAAGGGTTGCCCACCTGGTGCGCTGGGACCGGCTTCGCCTGGTGCAGGCCCCGCCCCAGCCCCGCCCCTCCGCCCCAGCCCCGCCCCTCCGCCCCAGCCCCGCCCCTCCGCCCCAGCCCCGCCCCTCCACCCCAGCCCCTCGCCTCCGCCCGAGCCGCCAGCTCGCACCCTGGTTCTCGTTCTTGATGGGGAAGCAGAGGATGTTGCGCGTGCGGAAGCCGGTGCTATCGTCCACGCCGCGGTAGAAAAGCGGGTGGGCATATGCGTCCGGGATGTTCAGGATCTGGCCCGTGGTCGCCACATGTCCCGCGATGCCCTGGTCGGCGGGGATGCGGATCTCGTAGCTCTGCCGGGGCAGAGATGGAGTCGAGAGGAAGAAGTTAGTGACCTGACCACAGAGGGGACTATTAAACGTCGGGCCGCTCCCCAGCGCCCCCGGCGGACTCCTGGACACCCTAGGGCCACAGACTCCCTCCACATCCGCTCACCTCATCATCCACCACGCCTCCGTCGAACACCTTGGCCACCAGCTCATTCTGATCCAGCAGGAACACAGAGCAGCTGTGGGGGTAGGGGGTTTGGTCCTCTGGGGCCTGCCAACCCCCTCTGATCGCCCCCACATCCCATAAGGAGGCAAAGGGCAGACTTCCGAGGCCTGGGAGGAGTGCTCCACGGTGAGACACTCTGCTCAAGGCTAGCTGGCTCCAGAAACGTGTCCATTCAAGTGCTTTTTTTTGGAAGCACCTACTATGTGCCAGACACTGTGATAGGAGATGGGGATCCAAATCCAGCTCTGTCCCTGCTGTCATTGGAGCTTACAGTCTAGTGAGGCAGACAGGCATGAAATAAAGAATCCCTCAAAAGGTGATGAGGTCCCTCAGAAGGCAGAGAAGGGAAAGGGAGGGGCAGGAAAGGAGATGAAGGGAACTGAGGGTCACAGCCTCTCTCGCCCCATCCCCTGGGTAGAGTCACTCACATCTCCGCATTGCTGAGGTTTCTGGCCTCTGTGATGATCTCCTGGAGCAGGACAGAGACATCATCTGGGGGAGGGAGAAGACCAGGCATGGTGAGACCAGGCTGCAGTGCCAAGGCCAAGCCCTCGCGCCTCTCCTCTGCAAATCCCAGCCCCCCTGCCCACCCCACAGCTGGGCATAGAGGAGAACAGTGCACTCACCCAGGTGGGTGAAGAGGTTCTTTGCCACTTGGAGAAGAGCCTGGAATGGAGGAAATGGAGATCATAGGGGGTTGGGGTGCAGGGGTCATCCTATCTAATGCCCTGCCTCCAACAGCACCCAGGTCTTCATCCCCTAGGGCTCACCAGACAAGCCGGAAACTGTCAGTGTCTAATTACATCATTTGGCTACTAAGTGAAGGAGTAAGGGAATAGCCCCGGGGCAGGTGAGGAGTCTCCTGAGTGTCTCAGCTGCCTTCATGCCAGCTCTAGCTGCCTAGGTGTTGCTGTAGTGCCCAGATTGAACACTAGAGGGCGATCACACACAGTGCCTGCTGGCAGTGGTAGAGGTCCTGAGCAACTACAGGCCTTCCTCTTAAGCCTCCAAGTCATTAGTTACAGTTACCTGGGGAATTGCTGCCACAGATCTAGAAAGACATGGGCATTTCCCTTGTAAGTGGCTCTCTGGGGCTGAAAGCTGGGCGAGTCGGTGCCCGATAGAGGCTCCAGGCCGGTCACTCACCTGGCATTCACACTTGAGCTTCTGCTCCTTCTGGAAGGCCAGGGTGCTGGTGAGCACTGTGCTGGTGTAGTGGAAGCAGTGCTGGATCACGTGCTCATCATGGTCAGTGAACCTGGAGGAGGAGTGAGCTGACCCAGCAGGGAAGGGAAAACCGGCTCCTCTCCCCACTCTCCTTTCTGTTCTACCAGAAGCCCACAGGGGTGCCCACCCGCCAACCATATAACCACTGCACAGGCACTTGGAACAGCTTCCTGCTCCCACACCCATTCAGAATGGCAGCTCCCTGAGGGGAGGGCTCCAGTCTTCCTTAGATTCTTGAAACCAGGGCCATACCTCCCCACTCTGATTTGGGATTTACCCAGCTCAAATCTGGGTCTCCTCCCTCAGACTAGAGACTGCTCGGGCTCAAGCTGGCTTTCTCCTGCTCTTCCCCAGGCACACCTCCAGCCTTGGGGAGCGGCAGTGCCACTGCCCCATCTTGTGCAGCTCCTGTCACTACCCCACTCTCCCTGGACTCCACTGGCCCTGATTCGGTGCCTCTAGAAACCCACCGGCCCTGCTCATGGAGCTAGCTCTGGTGTGACAAGGTCAGCCCCAAAGCCTGCTCAGGTCATTCAATCTGGCCTCCAAATGATTTGTCACTGAGGAGCTGCATGGGGCTGGGTGGACCAATGGTGGGGGTCACGGGGGGAGGGAGCCTTCCTCAGCCCATATCACACTGCCCCCAGGTTTCCCTGCCTAAGCCCTTCCCCTTTTTTTGGCTGGGCTTGGTGCTCTGCCTGGTGGGGCATCCCCCACTCATGCTTGCCATCTGGTGATTCAGGTCTAGATCTGTCCCCATCACTCTGGCTCTGTCTGCATGCCTTCCTTTCATTTGAGATCCCTCAGCTAGCCTCTCCCCCGCCGCCTCTCACCCCTCAACCCTGGACATCTCTCGGCTTCAGCCACACAAAGATCCTCATCATTCTGAGAAAACCTTGGGCTCTTTCACACCTTTGTGCTTTTTCTCTACACTGTTCCCTCAGCCTAGAATACCCTTCCCACTCTCCTTCCTCTATGCCCTGAAAATGAGCCTCGAGTCTTATGAGATGGGGCCATGATAATATCATCCCATATCCAGTACAAACACTTGGGAGGTCTTTGCTGATGTCGTGATGTATCCTATCCCTGGCCTTACCACCAGACCTATCCTGCTCATAGCTGAAGGGCTTCTGGAGCCCATGTTCTCTGGCTACTTAGCTGTGTTCCAGGAAGCTTCTCTGCAGTCACTGCAGTGAGCTGAGCCCCACCCTGGCTCATGCAATCATTCAACACCCACTCCCTGAAATGCATGGGACCCAGAGATGGCCTTGCCCCTGTGCTGGACCTCAGGACTGTCACCAAGGCCCCGTCTTGTTTTCCTGCTGATACCACCTCTCCTCCAGCTCTGGGGCCATCCTAGAACCCAATCCCACAGCCAGCAGTGAGAGGTCATGGTCCCTGCTGGTCCCCCATTCACTCTGCCTTCCCCTCCCCAAAGGCCTTCCCAAGGCCATCTGCTGAGTACTGGGATGGCAACATTAAGTGCTCAATATTTGCTTGCTGAATGGCATAAATTCTCCCACCACTAGGATACCTACAAGTTCCAAATGCCACCAATCCCACGGTCTTCTGCCTCAGTGGATTATGCTTTGTTCCTATCTTCATTTCCCCAGGCCCACCCAACTGTCAACACAATTCCATGCTGGTAGTTCCTGCAGCTTAGAACTAGGACTCCTCAGTCTCTACCCTATCCCAGCAGGCCTCAGGACTGGGCTCTGACACCTCCCTAGTCCCAGGCTCTCTAGTGTCCACCTCCTGCAGGAGCTCCAGGCCCTGAAGCCCAGCCTGCTTGCTTGGACTCCAGAAGCGAGCATCCTATCAATGTCTCTTTGCATCAGGACTCAGCCCCTCATCTGTCTACTTCTCGCCACCTACATGATGGTGATGCAGCACAAGCTGCTTGTCCTGCCAGCCCAAGCGTGAACCTGCACCCTGGACAGAAACGGCTCATCAGACACAGTGCTGTTTCTCACTGACTAAGATCCATTCGCAATAAAATTCAGGCACCTATTGCCAGTTCATGAGTTGGTGTAGGACATGAAATTTACTTACAACACCACTTCTAGATGCCAGGTTTGACCTCAGTTCTTGAGATATGCTTCCCAGCTAAGCCTCCAAGTCTGTTTTCCTGTCCACTGTGCCCTGCCCACCTCTCTTTACAGCTGCCCTGTCAGGGGCTCAAAAGATCCACAGCTTTTCCCAGTCCCCAAGCATATTCCCTTTGGCCACTGTCCACTGTGTTGATAATGCTCTGTGGGTCCCAGAGGGTTCACCCATCCCAGACTGCACCCACCCCTCCATCTAGCAGTTTCTAGCAGTAATGAAGAAACAGGGATGGGAAGGTGGGGAGGTCAATACCCCAAAACCAGATAACCCAAACTTCAGGAAGTGGGGGAAGAGAAGGGGAACCGGCTTGGACCTCAACATGACTTTCATTCTCTTGCACTAACTGTTCAGCCCCACTGCTGCTGAGACAGTAGCCCCTGCCCAGTACCCTTCCTGTGCTGCCACCCTAGTGGAGCTCTAGCCAGCCTGTCAGTGACATCTCCTGACCTGCATCACCCCACAAAGACTCACAAGTCTCCTTCTAGCTTGTTGAAGGCGCAGGCCAAGGCCACCACCTGGTCAGTGGCCCGGCTGATGACAGGGACACAGAGCACGGCCTGCAGTTCACAACCCAACATGCTCTGCAGCTGTTGCACATCCTCCTGCAAAGGAGAGGCAAGTCAGAGCAGGGAAGGAGAGGGGAGTACGCTTCCCTCCTCCAGCCCCCCATCACATTTGGCAACAGGCAGTTAGTTCTAAGGGACTCATGCAAGGTGGAAGCTCTGTGACATGGAGATGGGATAGTAGAAAGTCCCCAGGTCTTGTCTCCTCCATTCCTGGGCTGCTCTATAACAGAGACCTTGGCTCTGGGGGCTGGGCAGTGGGGTCTCCCCTTTCCCCTATGGGTCAGCCAGGCCATGACTTACAGAGGTGAGGTCCTTCAGCTGGATGGACTTCTTGTCTTCCACCACTTGGCTCAGGCGTCCTGTCAACTAGAGGGTGGGGAGAGACTGAGTCAGCGCCAGTACTCCCAGGTCAGGCAATCTCAACCTGTCCCCACCCTCAAGTCTGGAAGTTTCAAAGAACTCTTCAGTCAGTCCAAATGGTGGATGGGGTCAGCACTGAGGAGGAGGGATGGAGGGGAGTCTGGCAAAATTCACTACAGAGGACTCTAGGGTCCTCCCTAACTGCGAGAGAGATAAGCAGACTCCAGGATTCTCCTCGACAGAGTCCAGCAGATCCATATCCAGAAACACTCCAACATAAATGAACAGGTCCCAGGTAAGCCTTTCCATAGATACTAAGAGATTCCTCCTAATAGAGCCTGATGAACACAGGTTGGGATCGCTGCAGCATTTCTAAGTAGATCCCAAGATCCAGATAATTCCATCAGATTTCAAGAATCTAGAGGATCCAAAGACTCCAGGAAGATCCCAGGAGTGTCTACCCGGCCTCAACCGCCCCTGCAGATTCCAACAGGAGGACGCAACACTCACGGGAAAGCTGACCTCTTCCCCCAGCACTTTGTCTCCGATGACCTGAGGAGCAGAGTGCAGGGCCCCGTTAAAGGAAAGGCGAGGGATTTCCCCCTCGGAGACCGGAGTGCCTCGCCCAGCCCCTCCCCGCTCCACTGTGGACCTGGGCCCTCACCTTGCAAGACAGCTGGAGATTGTCCTCCGACACCAGCAGGAGGCAGCAGCGGGAGGCCCGGGTCTCCTGCTGCAGCTGAAGGAGGGACAGGCAGGGCGAGGGTCTCACCGCGGGTCCGGGCCACCCCACTCCCCACCCGCTCCCCTCCTCGGGGCCCTTCAGGCGGGCGGAGGAGAGGGGAAGGGACATCGTAACTGGAACTGAGACGGAGGGCTCAAGGGGACGCTGGTCCCCGGAGGACGGGGAGATGACCGGGAGGGGCGCAGGGACTCACGTATTGGAGCACTTTGAGCTGCAGGGAAGAGGCATCCAGGTCGTAGAGTTCCCCTGCAAAGGCCGGGCGCAAGTCAGAGGGAGGGTCCCTCCCCACCTCCGTGGCCGGCCGGGTCCCTCGGGCACCGCCCAGCCTGTGCAGGGCCCTGGCCGGCTCCTGGAACCGCCCAACCCGCCCACCTTCCCTCTGAGTCCCGCCCGGCCCGCCCTCCGGACCTGCCCAGGCAGGGCCCTCACCGCACAGTTGCAGGATCTTGCGGTCGCGGTCGGTGTAGGCTGCCCCGTCCTTCTGGTCTTCCGCCGCGCCCTCCGGGGGGTTCTGGACGGCTCGGGGAGCCTCGCTGGGCCCGCGCTGCTGCAGAGCCTGCACCCTCCGCAGGGCCACCAGGGTCTGGGGCAGGCCGAGCGGTCAGCGCGCCGCTCGCCGCTGCGGGACTCCTGCCTCTGCTCCCGCCGTTCTCTCTGCCTGCCAGGCCCATGGACCCCGCCGCCGTCCCAAATAACTCATCCCTGGACTCTACTTTCCTGAGGGCTCCCCCGAGGGCTCCCGCTGCCCCTGGAGCGTCGGTCGGTCAAGGAACAGGAGGGCACAGGGTCTATCTGCAACCCTAGCCCCTAGACTCTGCCGAGACAAGATGTCGGATTTCTGTCTCCAACCCCCTCAGGGAGTCGTAAGTCCTTGTTAAAGTCACAAAATCATACAATCTCAGGCTGGCAAGAGCCTCAGTATCATTAGGCGGAGGGGTCTTTCTATCTCCTGGACTTTGGAGGGGTTGCTTCCCCATAAATCCGTCTAAAAGTCGAGACATTGTAAGTTGGCAACCGTGCGTATTTATAAGGTATTTGAGCAGTTTTGTCTCACCACTGCCCTAGGTCAGTCAGTGCTGTCATTATCCCCGTGCTCAGAGAGGTTTAGCGACTTGCTCAAGGTCACACAGCTCGAAAGAGGCAGAGCTGAAGCTGAAACCCAGGTCTGTCCAACTCCCTGGCCAGGCCACCTTCCCACCGGCTGTGATAAGGGTCTTCAGCCTTATCCTACATGGCCCCAGTCCCACTCACATGCCTCTCCACTGCCTGCAGGCTCCACTCCTCATTGTCACTCAGCTGGCCACAGTGCACCTGGAGGGAGGGGAGAAGGGAACTAGCTGTGACCTCTCCCATTGTCTGTCCCTGCCAGAGTGCCCTTCCCATGCTGAGCACACATCAGCCCCCATCAACACATACACACTCCAGTCTGTCAGCCTCAGTGATGAGCCCTTCCTTCTGACCACACAGACAGCTCCAGAAAATCCCCTCCTGTAGGAAGCCTCCTAGGACAAACCCAAAAATGTAAAACTTTTTTGTCTCTGCCTTTTCAATCACCGCCTCATCAAGAGCACAGTTCAAGGTGTATAGTTCAGGAGACGGAGGGACCTTAGACCCCTCTTCAGCTCCCAGCCTATGGAGCCCTGTGGTTCTGATTTTAGAACTGGAGGTATTAGCCTCAGCCTCCCAGCTCTGTCCTTTCTGAGTTAGGGTATGAGCTGCTCCTAAGTCTTGGATGAAGGAAAGGGTTCAGTATGACGCACCTGCCATCGGGAGGATGGGCGAGTGAATAAACGGATAAATGGGTTGGTGACATGCTTTTTCTTACATGTGATTCTCACCACTGTGATGCAAGCCTCCACCTGGCAGATGGGCCATGGCCAGAAAAGTGGAGTGACTTACCCAAAATCACATAGCAGAAAGTGGCAGAGTGAAGACAGTACCACCCACTCCCTCAAGCTCTCTGCCCACACCTTCCCCCTCCAGCTCCACCCTTACCACCATTCCCATCATCCTGTCCCTCTTCAAGTTCCCCGTGCCAGTCACCAGAGAACTCAGCCCATCTTTCATACTCTGTGAAGTCCCTTCCCTCACCCCTACTTGAGTGCCTGTCGAGGAAAATTAGAGATGGCAGGGAGGGAGGGTGGCAGCCTAGGGACCCACCATAGGCCCTGCCAGCAAGGCTCCCCACCTGCGTCACCAGCTTCCGGAGCCTACTCAAAGCTGCTCACCACCTGCAGAGCTCCCCACAGCGCCTGCACTGGGGGCCCCTCCTTCCTCCTCCCTCCCCAGTCAGCAGCCAATGCCTGCCTCAGCTCTGGGTCCCCTGCCAGGAGCAGATGGGGAGGAGGAGACCAGCAGGTTCCTGGGAAGCTCACAGTCTGGGTTGGGGCGGGATGAGTGGGGGGGACATGACTGGGAGGAGGTGTGGCACCTGATACCTGAGGAAGGAGGGAGAAAACTAGGTGGGTAGCTCAGAGGGGAGGACATTTGGAAGGCTTCCTGAATTGGCCTGGTGAGAACAAGTAAACCCTGAAGAGACCAGGACACTGGAGGTAGGTGGTGTGGGGAGATGATGACCCGGGCAGGGGTGTGGTCCACGGTATCACAGAAGGAAGGGCCTTGAGTGCCAGGCTAAGAAGTTAGGCTTTAGCCTGAGAGTACTGGGGAGCCATGGCAGCAGTCAGCATCTGAGGGCCATTGGCTATGGGGTATAGGGTGAATTTGAGGGAGGAAGATTGGAGGCAGGAAGACCTGGAAGAGACCTGGGCTGTCAAGAATGGTACTGAAGCTTAAGCTCTGGATGAGGCTCAATCTGTGACTCCTACGGGACAGCGGGAGCTGGCGGGAGGAGAAGACGGGGCTATGGTTCATTTGCATATGGCTTATATAAATATGTTGGCATTTTACTGTTAGCACATGGAGGAGGACATGGTTCTTGTTCCTTCCACCTGGTTCCCACATCTCAGGAATAGAGAAGGTTGGGATCCCTCTATGGCTATGGGGGCAAGCAGTTCCTGGACTGCCTACACCCACCTGCACACGTGCGCATACATACACACACAAAGAGCAGTCACAGACACAAAGACATCCACACACACACCCTCACAGTGTCCACAGCAAGTTCATGCCTGTACACAGGAAACTTAGTTCATATACTCAAGGGCCATGAGCATGCACCTGGCGCCCCTATATACAAACACAATCGCCCCAACACACTCATGGCTTTTTGTTCATCCACACGCACACACACTTGCACCTGCTCTTGCTAATCAGGGCAAGTGTCCAGAGCCCAGTGGGAACACTCAACAGAGGGCACTGTGGCTGTAAGAGAGGGTTAAAAGCCCAGCACAAGGCCAGGAGCGGTGGCTCACGCCTGTAATCCCAGCACTTTGGGAGGCTGAGGCAGGTGGATCACCTGAGGTCAGGAGTTCAAGACCAGCCTAGCCAACATGGTGACACCCCATCTCTACTAAAAATACAAAAATTAGCTGGGCATGGTGGTGGGTGCCTATAGTACCAGCTACTTGGGAGGCTGAGGCAGGAAAATCACTTGAACCTAGGAGGTGGAGGTTTCAGTGAGCCAAGGCCACACCACTGCAGTCCAGCATGGGCGACAAGAGTGCAACTCTTTTTCAAAAAAACAAAAAAGTCCCGCACAGCCCCCAGGTCCCCACCCTCACCAAGTTCAAAATGGCCAATGGCATGAGCACCCATTCCTGTGCAGGGAGTGGCTGGTGCAGCTGGGGGAAGAGTGGGCACAAATCAAGTGTCAAATGCCAGAAACCAAGGGCCACCACTCCTCAAAGGGACTTCTCATCCTAGGATTGAAGAATAGAGCCAAAGACTCTTTCCATCCAAAAAATCTGCAATCAAGGCGCCTTGAGTGGCAAGCTGTAAAGGCCCAGCAGTCGGCCACACAGCCCTGCACCTGGCCGGCATATCCCTCAGAGAGCCCCATCAGGCCCCAGCATTCCTTTGCAGGACTCCCTCGAGGGGTTTCCTTGCTAGCACTTGCCATCATGTGTGATCCTCTTCTTATTTTGCTCACTTCTTTTGCAATATTTTAGTTATTTTTTTTCTTTATAGAGATGACGTCTCACTCCATTCCGCAGGCCAGATTTGAACTCCTGAGCTCAAGGAACACTCCCAGCTAAACCTTCCGAGTAGCTGGGGTCATGCTCACTTCAGTGCTTGCCACCACCACCCCTCCAGACCGTATGGTCTGTGAAGGCAGGGCCTGTCCCATCTGTCTTGGTCACTTCTGTGTTCCCAGCACCTAGCACATTATGCCTGGCATACAGTGGGTACTCAAATAGTTGTCCAACTGACGGACGAGTGGGTGAATGGGTAGGTGGATCAGTGGATGAATACTAAGAGCAGAGACTCAGAGCCTGGAATGGGCTTGTCGAGGAAGGAGCTGGTGACTCCGCCTTCCCAAAAGATCTACCCTGTGGCACTCCATCTACTTTCTGCACCCTCTGCCCTGGGGATCTGGTAGCAGCTGGGAAGTCTGGCTGTGCTGCCTCTGGGAGGCAGTGAGATCCTGCGGGCCAGGGAGCATCTGTCAGACGGTCTGCCTTGGGGAGGGTCATCCTGGGGAAGTACATTTCCACATGAGTGGGAAGGTGCAGGCTTGGAGGAGAGGCAGATGTGAATAATCCAAACATCTTTCAAGAGCTCTTCCCTGCCCAGGGTATTTGAGAAGGGGAAGGGACAATTGTTGAAAACTCCTGGCAGCCAGAGCCCTGGGTGGCTAGCATCCTGCTCCACAGCATGCACCCCTACTTCAGATTCCCCAGGACCACACTCCCCCCAGCACACCACCCCTTCCCCTGGCCTCCTTCCTGCCTTGCTCACATTCCTCCTCTGCCTAGGATCCCCTTTTCCCTTCTTTCCTGCCTGTGGGCCTCTTACCCATCCCCAAAGCCCCATACAAGTGCTCTCTCCATGGCGAGACACCACTTGCTGCCCCAGCCTCTGCCACCAGAGCACCTGCTGGCAGCAGTATTTCACCTGGCCCATGGTGGCAAGGGTGTCCCTGCCTTCCCCAAGACTGAGAGCTCCCTGAGGGCAGAGTCTGCCCCAGCACCCAACCTGCCAAAGGACGAGAGCAGAGCTCTACTGGGTAAGTTAAGTGAAAATGATCTGATCCCATCAGCATTCCTGAGACACACACACACACACACACACACACACACACACACACACACGCATGCACGCGTGCGCCTCTGGACCAGTCAGAGCCAAGGTAAGCAGCGGCCATGGCAAGCATCCTGCCTACAAAGGGAGCAACCTTCCAAATGTCTTCCCCTCGCTTCCCTCCTGACCCAGTCCCCACAGCCTCAACCTAAGGTAGTCCTTCTCAGGCACCTGGCACCCCAGGCCCTTTTCCCTCAGCAGAGAAGGAGGTGCGTGACCCAGCCACCGCCTCCCAACCCCACCTCTGCACACAGCCCCTCACCTCGGTGCCCCTCAAACTGACCAGCCCTGGGACAGACTGAAAGCAAAGAAGAGGGGGAGGCGGCCCCCTGAGAACTCTGTGCAACAGCAGATCCATTCCAGAAGCTGCGGGTGGGGGGAGCAGCTTGCGGAGAAACCAAGCAGGGGCCTCGGCTCCCTCAGTCAGGCAGATGGGTGCGGAGGAGACCCAGCCAAGTCCTCCTCCTCTCCTTTCCCCTCTCCTCCGCTCTCAGCTGTCCCCCACTCCCACCGCCCTCTCCCACCAGCAGCTCAGAAAGGTCAGACGCCTGGGAAGCCTTTAATTCCATTTTAATGAGCTGGAGAGGAGTCCCCGGGGAACCAACACCTGCTCATCTATCTGTCCATGCCCCCAAGCCTGTCCTTTACTGGAACGGCAGCCCACTCGACGGAAGCAGACCCCCAATAATGGCAATTTAGGGAACTCATCCTTTGGTCACCAGGACAGAAAAAGAGTTTGAACCCCCACCTCCATACAGGAGAAGAAACTGAAAGAGCGGCAGAATCCTGCCCCCACAGGCTCTGCACTTCCACCACCCCTTCCACGGAGCAGAAACCCTGGGAACTTGGTGAGAGGCTGCAGAAGGAGCCCTGCCTGGGTTCTGGGGTTCTGCAGAGCATCCACCACTTCCAGCTAACACTCCTTCCTCACCCACTCCAGGAAGCCCGCCTAGCTGCCTGTCTTCCGCCCAGCCTCAGCCCTGGGTCTGGCTGCCCTGCCCACGGGTTCTGTCCTCAAGGCCCCCAGCTCCCGCCACCCCGAATCTCTGGCTAGTTTCCCACACTGTCTCTATTGGTCAGGCCCTTATGTCCACCCATCCCTCTGCACTGTCTCTCCTCACACTTCACTTGTTCATGGCCTCCTGGACGCTGTCCCCACCCCATCTGGAGGATCCCAAAGAGGAGCAAGGTTAGCGCTGTTTGTGCCAAGGATTGGGCCTTCTAACCTCTGAGGGGATGAGAGTCCAGAAGGGGCTTGGACACCCCTCAGAAAGCTGCTGACTGGGCCAATGGCTTCATCCTCCCCTTCGAGTTGGGGCAGAAGGCTGGGCTCTGGGAGAGGCCCCAACTCCTCCCACACCCCCATTTCCCCTTGCTCCATCCTCATTTATGGCACCCATCTCTCTGTCTCTGTCTCTCTCTCTCTCTCTCACACACACACACACACACACAGACACACACACACATACACACACACAGACACACACCAGACAGGCTCCATCCACCACTCCCTCCCGTGGTCTCCTCTCCCCACATCCCACCGCCTAGGCGGGCTCTTACCAAGATGACAGCTGCCACAGCCCCGGCCTCCTTGTCCACTAGCGGTATGACCAGCACTGAGGGGGAGAGGGCAGTGAGGTGCTCCTGCAGGGCCGGTGAGGCTCAGAGATACCGAGCCGAGACCCAGGTTGGGGAGACAAAGATGCAGCAAAGAGAGGCCGAGACAGAGACACAGAGAGACCCCAAAACCCACAGAGACAGAGAGGCGGGTCCTGAGGCAGTGACAAAACCACAGCAACAGCCTCTGCACGGAAGGAAACCCCTTCACTCCACCACCTTCTCGTGATCCTCCCATGGTTGCAGGGAAGAAGGCAGCTGGTGCTGAGCACCCCTATTTTACAGATTGGGAAACTGAGGTCTAGCAAGGGGAAGTGACTTGCCAAAGATCACACAGCAAGTCAGGCCTCCTGACTCCCAGTCTTGTGCACTTTCCACATCGAGACAGAGGACAGAGACCTAGAGAGACTGAGACACGAGGCAGAGAAAGACATGGCGGACAGGAGGCATGGAGGGGAACAGAAAGAGAAACAGGAGCAATGACAGTGACAGAGACAGTGTGAGAACAACTGGAGCCCCATCCAGCATCAGGCACAAGCACATCACAAGCACAGCCATGGGCCACGGAGCCCTCGCAGGTGCCCGGCTCCTGACATGCATTCTCTCACTTGCGCCTCCTTGAAACTCCCCCCTTGTCCCATTTTATAGTCAGGAAGTTGAGGCTCAGAGAGTTTAGTAGCACGATAGAGAAAGAATTAGATGGAGGGATTGCTAGAGACACAGAGGAAGAGAAAGAAGGAGACAGAGATGAAGACGGGTAGAAGACAGACGTGACCTGGAGTGCAGGGGCCACAGTCCCTCCCTGCCCCTGCCCCTGCCCAGCTGCCAGCCCTTACCTTGGGTATCAGGAGCCAGCGGAGCCACCAGCCTGGCCAAAGCCTTCCCTGGCAGGTCCGAAAGGCCCAGCCCATTGCAGCCCAGCCGCTTCCGGGAGATGACAGCCTCTCTGAAAAGAGGACACAATGCCACCTTGAGAGCCTCTGGCTCAGGGAGGAGTAAAGCCTGGCCTGGGGACACAGGACAGTTTGGACCCTGCACATGTGCAAGGATCTGGGCAAGCTGACCTGCCTCAGGGTGGACATGATGACAGCAAAAGTAAAGAAGTGGGGGACCCTGGCCGCTGTGTGGGGAAACAGGCAGCCACAGTCTGGCCTCTGAGTCTTGCTGGTAAAGGTTCAGGCAGGGCCCACCACAGATCTTCCAGGCAGTGGAAGAGCAGAGGAAGTGAATGCAGGGGCTCAGAGCTAGGCTACCTGCTACAAGCTGACCTTGGACATGTGACCTGACCTCTCTGATCCTTCCAAGGACAACTAGGGTGGGGAGAGCAGAACCCTCCCCATCACCATCCTCAGAAAACAATTGGAGATCAGCTTTTAGTTCAGGAGGAAATCATCATCACTAAAGTTGATTGAGCATTTCCTATGTACCGTGCACAGCCCAAGCCACTCACACAGACGAGCTCAGAATTCCCAGCAATTCTATGAGTGAGATATAATCAGCATCTTTATTTTCAGATGGAGAAGCTATGGCACCGAGAGGCTAATTCACATGTCCAGGGTCACACAGCAAATAAGTGGTAGAGCCAGGATTCGAACCCAAGCAGGTGCACCAGGGCTAGGTCTAACCACTATGCTGGAACCTTCCCAAAGACCTGTGGAGGTGTGAGCCTTGAACAGGGGGCTGCTGTGAGTGTCAGGGTATGATGGTGGGGGAGTGGTGGGGAACCAAGGCAGGGGAGGTTGGTATGGGAAGAATGAGTTTCTCTCTGTCCCATCACACAACCCACCTCCTCTATCCCCCTGGCCTCTGGCTCATCCTGCTTAATTAGGCACCTGAATTTGCATCAACTGCCACTCCTTGGTGATTAATTGTCCTGGCTTCTTCCTCCCTCATGCTGCCTCCACTTACCTACGCTTGCAGGAACTGCCTGGCCTGGACAGAGAGAAACTTGGGGAACTGTGTGCCTAGAGGGTCACTAAGGGAAGCCCAGCAGAGGTCACATGAGGAAAAGGAGTGGGTGGCCTGCGAGTCACAAGATCACTAGGTCACAGACTTGAGACAAATCGAGGACCAAAGAGGTTGAGCATCTCGTTCAAGCTCATGCATCGTTCTGAACCAGACCGATTCCTTCCCGGCCACTTGGAGCAATCCAGAATCTACAGGAACTGGTGGTGTCTCCCACCTTCCTGCCCTTACACCCGGGAGCTTTAAGGCTCCTGGAGTTCCAGGCTGTCCCCATTGCCGGTCACCCGAGGAAGTGGGGGAGTGTAGGGTGGTAGGAGGGCAACGGGAGCCACATTTCCTGATGATTAAACTGCTGAAGGCTGAGGCTTCAGGGAGGCAGGAGGTGACCCTGGGCCAAACCCCACCGGCTCCTTGGCCTCGGACAATCTGGTTACCCGGAATCCAAAAGGTGGCACTGGTCCTTGCATTGCGGTCCGACCCCAAATATTCCCCTCCCAGCCCTGGATGGGGTCTGCCTTGGCCTCTCTCTCCCAGGACCCTAATGAAGGAAACTGTCCTCAACCTTTTTTCTCTTTTGCACAAAATCCCTCCTCCGGAATCACGGTCTCATGACTCTCCAGCCCTCACTCATGAGCTCCAGACCCCAGATACCCAAAGGCCACCTGGAGCCTCCCCATCATGTCCCTGAGGTGGCCCAGGGACCCCCATTCCACTGAATTATTATCTCCACTCCCCCCACCCCGCAGCAAAGTGGCACAATCATCCACCGGGTGGTCCTTCTCTGCTTGTCCGAAAACCTGCCTCCGTTCCTCACCTCCCCCATCTGATCAGTGAGTCACTTCCCAGGCGTCTCACAGTCCTCTGCTCTCTATGCCCAAGCCACTGCCCAGCCCACATGAAGACGCCTTTTCCCCGAATGCTGGGGCAGCCGCTCCCCAGCCTCTGGCCTCCTAGCTGGGTCTCTTCAGTCCATCCTCCATGCCACAGCAAGAATAAATGTTCTGGACTAAAAACCTCAAGGGAGTATCCTCCTTAAAACCTCTCATTCCACTGGGTCCTTCTGGGTCCGGTTCAGTACTGAAGGCTGCGATGAGCAGAGGGGTGGGACACAGGCCTGCCCTGAGGAGGCCAAGGACCCTCGGAGACTGGTATATAGACCCAGGCTTGAGTCGGGAGATGAGGGCTCCGCCAAAGGGGGGACAAGCAGGCCCCACCCCGCCCGGGTGCAGGGTGTGATGGAGCCAGAGGAGGCTTCCTGTAGAGGGAGACGCCTGAGTTGAGTCCTAACGCACAAACAGAGGTTATCGAGGCAGACAGGAAAGGATGTCAGGGGAACTACTTGTGCGAAGGTGCGGGGGCGAGAAGACTGTGCCTGCTGACAGAATGGCCACGAGGACGGTGGTGTGGCTGGACAGCCGAGAGCAAGGCTAGACAGGAGCTGGGGCCCCATGGAGCTGAGCCTGAGCCCAAGGGCAGCGGGAGCCCCAGGATGGGTCTGAGCAGGGCACAGGAACGGTCAGGTGTGATTTCAGACCAATTGCGCTGCGGCCTGGGTAAAACTCTCTGCATACAGAGAATGTGACACTGGAAACCTGGTCTCAGTGAGGATCCCATCATCTTAGTGGCCCTGGACAAGAGAGAGGCAGGGCTGGGACAGATCAACCTTGACTAAGCCAAGATACCCCCAAGCACTGGGGCTTCCAAGGACCCTCAGTTCTTGGGAAGCCTCGGCACCTTGCTCTGTAGCCTGCCCTCCCCTGGCTTAGCCGGACCCCCAGCTCAACTCGCCTCAACCTACCACCCTGGGAGTCCCTTTCCTCTGCTGCAGCTCCCCCAGAACTGCCGTCCTCCTGGAGGCTCCAAAGATGCCCACAGACTACAAGGGGGAATGTGCCAAGCCTGAGTCTCCCCCACCCACATGGGAGTGGGGGCTTTGTCCCTGCTCAACTCAGAGCAGCTCCCTGCTCCTCTCCAGTTCCTCCCTTACTTCTCCCCCACCACCACCCCGCCTTCCAGGCTCATGCTGGGGGTTGTGGGGGACTCCACACCCCAGGACCAGCTGCCCAGGCGAAGGCTAATGACAGCCCTGGGTGCCTGGGTGGTCACAGCTGCCCCACTGAAGATAAGGACAGATGGGCACAGAGTGGAGAGAGGAACGGGCGTGGACTTTATGACAGTTCCGTCCCTTTAACAACTATTTGTTTAATGGAAAAGAATTGAGGGAAAGGTTCTCTGCTGGTAGGGCCAACAGCCTGGAAAGAGCTGGGTCCCCAGGCCCTGTGCACTTCTCTGAGTCCCTGTGTGTTCTTCTCGAGTCCTCTACTGTGGTGAAGCCCCTTCCCTTTCACTGAGTCCCCCAATACCCAGTAGGTCCCTGTCCGAAGTGAACAGCCAAGCCTCTTGCTGAGCCCATCCCTCAAGGGAACCCCCCACCCTCACTGAGCCCTCCACTCTCACTAAGTCTTCATCCCCCGCTGAATCCCCATCTCCTCACTAAGCTCCCATCTCCTCACTGAGCCCCAGTTCTCTCACTGAGCCCCCATCCCCTCACTGAGCCCCTATCCCATCACTGAGCCCCCATGCCCTCACTGAGCCCTTATCCCATCACTGAGCCCCTATCCCATCACTGAGCCCCCATGCCCTCACTGAGCCCCTATCCCCTCACTGGGCCCCCATCCCCTCGTTCAGCCCCCCACTCTCACTGAGCCCCCATCCCCTGGCTGAGCCCCCTCCCCCTCACTGAGCCCCTAGGACATGGACGTCTTCTCCCCTCCTTCCCCTAGTATGTGAAGATCCCAAGTTGAGAGCATACAGTTCCCGGTGTCCTCAGAGACAAACCCTAGGGATGGCCAGATTCTGTAAGGAAAGACCTGGTCCACTTAGGGCAAGAAATTTCTTAGGGATGGGTCCTGGGACCCCAAAATGGTAGTGGAGGGAGACAGCCAGCCTGGGCTGGGGTAGAGGCAGTGGGTGCTTCAGGTGCTGCTGAAAGGCATGAGATTTCCGCTGCACTCAGCAGCAGGTAATCAGAGGCTTTAAGATAGCAGGAGACACCAGAAGAGGAAGGCGGCAGAGCTGGGCCTGAAACAGGCTGGGAGATGGAGGTGGGGTACCAACAAGAGGGAAGTGAAGCCTCCTTCCAGGAAGACCCTGGCCCAGGCAGCTTTCCAGGATCCTCTCCTCTCCAGCCCTAAGGCCCTTTGCAGCCCTTACAATTCAGAGCCTCACCAGCCCTCAACATCAGAATGTCCAGCCTGTCATTTTACAAAAGGCCCGGGGAGAGGGCATGGGATTGTGATTGCAGTCGTGTTGTCCTGGATTCCAGGTCTCCGACTCCTGGCCCAGGGTTCTTCTTGTGGGCACACGCATCCCTAAGTGAGGGCACTATGGCCCAGGCCCCTTTCCTGAAACTTGGATCCTTCTCAGTGTCCGGGAGCTGCGGAGCAGGTTTCCCCAAGAGGGCTTCTGGCCAGGCCACGAAAGATAAGTAAAATGGGATTGGCTGAAATGAAAGTGGAGCATGGAAGGCTTTGCAAGGAAGCGAGCAGCCCTTGTGAGACAAGAAGACAGAAAAGCCAAACACACCGGGGGGATGCAGCTGGGCATCTGAGAGTCCACAGAGCGAGGTAGCAGGGGCAGGTGGGGCTGGGAACTGGCGGGGCCGCCTCACTCCACCTGGACGCTTCTCCACCCTTCTCTCCCCACACTGCCCTGAGCCCATTCCCTGCCCGTTTCGTCGGGCCTCCTTATCTGTCTTTATGATCCAGCCTCCACGTCACACCTGCTGCTGTTTGCCAGCCGTCCAGGGTTTCCTGGAGGAGCACCCTCCCCGCACCCCCGCCTCCTCAGGCACTGCTAGAGCCTCAGGCTCCACGGCAGCTGCAGGCCGGTTCCTCTCCCTCCTGGGGGGATCAGAGCCACAGAGGTCACCATCGAAAGGCCCCTGTACCCAACCCCACCCATTTCACAGAAAAAGAGACTGAGGCCAGGAGGGAAGTCGTTTTCTCAAGGTCACCCAAGGCTAATCACTGGTTGGAACTTGGCAAGGTGCAAGTAGCAATCGCTAAGCTCCTACTGTGTGCTGGGCACTATGCCAAGAACTTGGCACCTGTTACCTCATTAAGCCAACGGACAGGCCCTCAGGTAGGAACACAGAGATAGAGGGATGTGGCCAAGCTAAAATCCAGACCTGTCTGAACCCCATTCCAGTGCTCTTCCCTCTTCCATATACCTGGGTCTCAAGTCCACATCCTGCTGGGAGCTCCTGAGGGCCAAACCAGTCTTGGGGCCTCTCTGCCCTAACTGTGGAGGTGGGCTCACCACCAGACACCAGGCACCAAGGTGGGCAAGCAGAGCTCAGATACCAGAGGGAGCACTGGGCCTGGGCCTTCATCCCAGTCCTTGCCCCTGATGACAGGTATCCCCTGAGAGGTCCTCACTGCACTCACCCTCCTCCCTTCTCATCCCCTGGCCCTACTCCTGCATTCGCCAAGTCTCCCAGCAGGCACTTGCCTCCCCACCTCCACCGAGCTCTGGGCTAATTGCATTTGAACATTCACTTTTAATTGCTTTTCTTTTGTATTTTTTCCAAAGGCCTGACAGAGTCTCAGTGGTTGGAGGGAGGATGCTGAAAGGGCAGCTGATGGCAAGGATCTGAGCCCTGTCAAAGATGCCTGCATCGCAGACACGCACCAGCTCCACACGCCCAGACAGCCGAGGGGATCCTGCGCAGGGCCTGGGGCAAAGCACACCTGCAGGCTGCTCCGCTGCCTCCCGAGCCTATGTTCCTGCCTCCCTCCCAGGAAGGCCTACCAGGCTGCTTTGAGGAGCCCTTCTAAAGGAGTGGAACTCATATAAAGCAGTTCTTTAGAATTAGAGGTGGGGGTTGCTGGAGGAGAACGCAGTTCTTTAGAATTCGAGGAGAAAGGGGACATGAGCACGTTTTTCCCCTTGAGATTCTAAAGACCTTTCAGCGCTGTCCCATCCTCTTCCAGATGGGACATGAGACCAGAGAGGGAGGTCGTGGCTTTGTTCCCACACTCCTTGATGGAGAAGTTGTTAGGGGAAGGTGAAAGGAGCTCAGTGGGAGAAGAGGAGATGGGAAGGCTCTGGGCTATCAGAGCGGAACCAACTCCTTCCACAGGAAAGGGGCCGGGGAGAGAGGCCAGCATCCTGGAAACCAGGGTTTCCAGCACCAGGAGAGGCCTCAGGACCACGATTCCAGCATCCCCAAACAGGAATTCTTTCCACGGCCCTGTGAAAGGTGTGTGGCTTGCCAGGCTCAGTTGCTACCTGAAAAAACCACATCCCTGGACCACTCGGCCTATTGGAAAAGCCCTCCTCGCAGGGGTAGAGAGCTGCCTTCTGGGGACACCCCCACTGGTGCCCACTCTGCCCTCAGCTCCCTGCCCAGTGCTCCCTGGGCCCCACAATGGCCCTGCATTCAGTGCTTAGCAGGCAATGGCCACATCCTTTAGAGCCTGCCTCCTCCCAGCAGCATTCGGCCCCCACCATTTTCTCTCTGATAAATTCCACTTCCTCTCACTGTCCCCTGCACAGCCAGGAGCCACAAGACCCGAGTCCTAGGCCTGGCTCAGCCTCTTACCTGGCATGTAGCCTTGGTCATGTCTCATGGTATCTACCCATCTTGAAGATGAGGAGACTGAATTAAATGGGCATCAAGGTATCGGGGGGCCAAGTGCACTGATCCTGTGATCCTGAAGTCAGTGATTCCAGCATTCTCTCACAATGGTAATCCCCAACAGATAGTCCTCACCATGGATCAGGCTGATTTAAATACTTCACATGTGTTACACACATTTAATCCTCCCCACAACCCTGTAAGTACCATTATTATCACCATTTCACAAACAACACTGAGGCACAAAGAGGTTGTGTCATTTGCCCAAGGTTACACAGCTAGCAAACAGGGAGCTGGGATTTGAACCCAGGCCGTGGGGCTCCAGAACCCTCAGCAGGACGCTGTCTCTGATCTCCCTGTTCTCAGATACAAGGAGGTGGCTCCTGCAGGCCCAGCATGCTGGGATTCCAAGTCCAGCCTCACAGTGGTTCTCACAGCATGCTGGTTTTCTAACTGGTAGACACCATAGCCCCGACATTCTGAGACTCTGCTCTAAGGAGGCCACAGCCATTTAGAAGCAATTAGAAGGAGAAAATTTACCATCACTTGGTACTTTCTCTGTGCATATCCATTTCCCCAACAGAGAGAAGATATTGCTTCTGTCCTTTATGCTGGGGTCAGCAACCAGGCCAAGAAAGCCCACCTGGCAGGAAGGCTGGGACCAAGGCTGGGAGGGTCAGACCAGATGACTTTGGACGACGCCTCAGCCCTGAGAATCCTTGGCTTTGCAAGAGGGCAATGGGGGTGCAGAGAATGGCTCACCGGACTTTCCCCTCCTGGGGCAGCTCATGTGGGGGGTCCTCACACACCAGCCGGGACTCCCCATCCAGCAGGTAGGTGTAGACAGTTTCCTAGGACAGAAGGCACCGATGAGGCCCTGCGGAGAGGCCCTCCCAGCCACCCGGTCCCCGCCTATACACAGGGGTCTGCGTGGCAAAGTCATGGACCCTGTGGGAGTGGAGCTCTGGCATTGATCTGTTCGTTTTTACTCTCCAGGTGATTCTAAGATGCAGCCAGGGCAGCAAAACACCTGGTGGACTGAACGCTTCACCCCCTTCTCTTGGAAGGGATTCTAAGCAGGCAGTGATTCAGTAAAGATGCGACTTTCTTTACCACCCAAAATTTAACATGCCAGGCAAAGAGTTTGAAGGGCTGAAGGTGCAGACAAATCACCTCCCACCCGGGGACATTTCCCTGCCTGACTCCAGCCTCGGGCATTCAGCAAACAGTAACTGAGCATCCACTCTGAGCTGTACTAGGGATGGGGCTCGGAATGCTCTAGGAAGTGCCCCTCCTTCAACTCTACAAGAAACCACACACCCATAACCCCAGCCAGGGAGGAGCACAGAGCAGGCCACTGCACCATCCTCCGTGGGGCCTGGGGAGGGCTTCCTGGAGGAAGTGACCTTCCAGCTGTAACTGAGTAGGAATTAGACACATTCAGGGAGTGTGCAGGGTACAGAATGGGCTCCCAGGCCTCGTAGCAGGTACACAGGTAGGTCCAGAGGTGTATACAGCATGGAGCATTTAGGAACAGACAGTGAGGGGAGGGGCACGGGGGCTGGGCCCGAGGTATCAGGGCTGAGTGGGATGGGCCTTACAAACAGAACTCGGGGCAGAGCAGGATGTGTGCAGGGAGACTTGAGCAGATTTGTATTTTGGACTGATTACTCCTCAGAGGGAGATCAAAGCTCTTGCTCTTCAATCCTCCCTCCCCAAGGGCCCAGAGCAGCTCTGGCCTCAGTTCCAGGCCATGTCTTGGCAGAAGTAGTTGCCCTCCCTGACCTACAGGCAAAAATCCACATTCCTTCCAAGCAGAACTGGCAACTCTTAGGGATCCCTGACCAACCCCCATGCAACACATCCTTGCCCGCAACTCTGCTCTTTCCCTGTGGGACAGTGGAGAAGGGCTTGCCTCCCAGCTGAGGGTATCCTGGAGGGCTTCAGGAGGAGGTGACAGTGGAGTACGTGTTGAAGGCCCACCCTCAGTAAGTGTGGAATCCTTCTGAGCAGAAGCAGTTGGCTTCCATGACTCTGAGAGTCCACAATCCTGCTAGCCACTCTTGTCATCGGCTGTCCCCAGCCAGCCCCCACCTCCTCCTAATCCCCAAAAGATGCCCAGCCACTACCTCCAGAGACACTGAGCCAGGTTCAGTGGTGGGTATGGCATGGGGTGGGGATAACAAGGCCCGAGGGGAGTGAGAGGGGCAGACACCCTCTTGTTTGGCTGGAAGGAAACCTAAGTGGGAAGTTCAGGGATAAAGAACTCTGTGGGAAGAGGCCGCCCACTCCTCGGCTATATCTAGCCTCCTTCTCGTCATTCAGCTCTTCCAGCAGCCTGGGAGGGGCCTGAGGTATTTGGCCCAAAGAGGTTAAGAGACAACCCCAGGTCACGTGGAATCCTGCCCAGGCAGAGGGAGGGGTGGGTAATCCATGGGAGCAGAGGGGGACAAATTCTCGCTTCACTTCCGGATGTCCGTGTGTCTCCCACCCCCTCACTCTCAGCCCTCTAGGTTAAAATTAGCTGAGTCTATTGGAGAGAAGGAGGGAACCATTTCAGACACATCAGCACCATCTGCATTCGGGGCTGCCTGCCACAATGGGTGCTGATGAGGAAGCCAGGTGCTAGCAGCTCTCCTCCCTGGGCGGGGGTCCCCTCCCCATCTCCGCTCCCCTCCGTGGGGGCAGCAGAGCAGACCTCAGCTCCCTCACCTCACTGGGGGCTGAGCCCCTCCGTGCAATCAAACCAGGGCTTCCGAAAGTCAGGGCTTCCCTACCTCATATAGGTCTCTTGGGTGGGCCAGGGTTGACATTTCCCACTGTCCCAGGAACCTGGACCACAGCTGTCATCCCAGCCCCCAGCTTTGGGGAGACAATTAATCTGTCGTAGAGCATCTAGGCTGGCACAGCCACCAGGGCACCCTGCCTGTGAAACAGAGCCAGTCACTTCCTCCTCCCGCCCCGGGCAGCTTTGGTGACCACAGAGGCTCTCGGGGCAGCCCAGCGAAAATCGACCTGCCAGCTTCCACCACCCTCCCTTTCCAGATGTGCCTCCATCCCAGGCCAGATGTTGCCTCAGTCCCATCCTTCTCCGGGAGGATTTATTTTTGGGCGCCAACACATCACCCACTTCCTACCAATTTCACACTCAATAAAGCTCACTCATTAGCCCTCCTCCTGGGCTCTGAACTTCTAGGAGGTTTGGGGAAGGCAGAGCTAAGGAGAGGGAATGGGGGTGCTTAGATGCCAAGTCCCATTTATCCTTGTCATGCTGTGTGACCTTGGGGCAAGTGCCCTCCCTCTCTGGGCCTCTGGTGGTTCATCCATCAAGCAGATTCAGGGACAATGGGCTCTGGCAGGATGGTAAGGTCGCATTCTGAGTTGGCCATATTTCCTGGAGCAGAGGCTGCCCTTGGTGGTGTTTGGAGTAGGGAAGAGGACGTTCAAGGCTATCAGGACTCAGTCAGGGCACCTCCTCCTCCAGGAAGTCTTCCATGTCCCTTAGACTTGATCAGACTCCTTTTCCCAGGCTCCAAAAGTCCCTTGTTTCCCTCTATCTGGCACAACTGGCACCCTGCTACTTTAGGCCTCAAGGGCTGGTTTACCCATCCTCCTGCCAAAGGTTTGAACAGTGGCCATTGATCCAGATTGGGGAGTGGCCTAGAGCATCTGATGAGGGGCACAATCTCCCCAGTAAGGTACTCTGGGCTCAGGCAACCATGATCACCGCCCTCCATCTGCCCCAAACCTGCAACCCATCCATGATATTGGGATAGGACAGACAGAAAGCCACTAAAAGGCTGCCAGAGGCGATTTTTCCAGCCTCCTGGCTCCAGGCAGGGCGCTTTAACCTAATGCAGTTCTATTTGTCAAAGCTGAGCCCTATTCTAGCACCTCCCAGACCTGGCTTCCAGGAAGTTCTTCTACATGTCTACCCTCAACTTCTCCTGCTGCATGTATTCCAAAACCCACCTGAGTCCATCACGTCCTGTTATCCTAGGTGAATACGTTTCATTATCTGAGACACAGCTTTTCCACTTGAACTCTAAGCCCCTTCTGGCTCACCCATTGTAGGATTCCTATGCAAGTTCACTCCTTAGTGCTTAGCTTCAGGCTTCCTCCTCCAGAAAACCGTCTCAGAACACCCACCCAGACCCTTCACTTCCCCATGAAGATCCTCTGGGTAGGGACCCTGCCTCTTCCTTCCTCCTTGGCCCTGGGTGAGGTACAGCATACAGCTGGTCAAAGACTTGGGGGGTGGGGTGGAAATCGTGGGGCAAGGGTGGGCACCTACCACTCGGGGGAGCACAGCTGAGAGGGCCTCCTTGACAGCGCGTTGCAGACCCGAAATGTCGATGACAGAGCCTAGACTCAGCAAAGCATCCTGAAAGAGAGGAGAGGGCAGTGAGGGGCTTTGCCAGGCGGCCAGGGCAGCCCCACCTGCCCAAACGACTGTGAGCAGAACCCCCCAGCTTAGACCAGAGCCTGAGGTTCGGAGGCAGATGAATTCCAGGATCTTAGGATCTTGAAATCAAACAGTCTTAAGGTCAAAGAATGTCCAAGTACCTTCATCTTACAGGTGGGGAAACTGAGGCTCAGAGAAAGACCAGGGACTTAGCAAAGGCCTCATAGTGAGTCAACAGGTCAAGCCTGGCCTAGACTCCAGGTCTCTTGTTCTCTAGTCGAGGACAATTCTGGCATGGTAGGGAAACCACCAGCCTCCAAATTAAAGCAAAACAAGCAAACAAAAAAAAAATATCCAAATTTGAGTCCTAGCTCCACTCAGCATGAGCAGTGAGTGTCCTGGTTGAGTCACTGAGCCTCAGTCTCCTATCTGTAAGTTGGAAGCAGCTGGGGCTACTGCCCCCTACAGGCTGACATAAAGATAAAATGAAATTGAGCCCTTAAAAATGAAAATAAAAATGAAACAGAGCACTAAAAGTGCCTCGCAGAATGCCCAGCACGGAGTAGATGCTCAGCTGAATGTCCGCTGAAGCTGGGTCACACTCACTTTCCCTAGAAGAGAGGTGGTCTCACCTAGTCTCATTTTCCAGCCTAGTGAGGGGCTGGGATGAGAGTCGCAAGAGTCCATGGGGTGCATTACCCATAAGGCGGGAAAACGGTTGGGCCTCCCCTGGCAACTAGAGGAGAAGGAGATGTCAGCCTTGACTGCCTCCCAGCCTTCCCATCCCAGGAACAGGGCTCGTCCTTGCAGAGCCGGAACGGAGACAAAAGTCCCTGCTTCTCGCTCTATTAACTTGGCCAGAGCCATGGGGATCAAAGAGAAAGGTAACAGAACAAAGGAAACGAGGGCCAAGGCAAGATCATGACTCACACCATCCACCAGCCATGCCCTCCCACAAGCCCTTGGAAGTCCTTTCAGATGTCTTCCCAGTGGAAGGCTGGGTCTGTGTTCAGAAAGCAAAGTGATTAACTGCAAAATGAACAAGACATGGCTGGGTCTCCATTCATGTGAACATGACATGAGGTTGAGGGTCTTACAAGACCACAAGCTCAGTATGAGCTCACAGTGTAAACATGACTGACAAGAAATAAAAATGCTCAAACTTCAGGCCGTATTAATAGAGGTATGTTAACCCAGTTGGGAAGGTGACAGTTCCCCCACTTCTATAGTCTAGTTAGACCATCCCCCGTTCATTGTGTCCCAGGTGCTGACCAGATGAGACTCATCCAGAGGAGGCAACCTATGAGAGGAGGGGACTGGAACCAAGTCCTGCATGTGACTAAGACTGGATAACCCGGTGATGTCTCATCTACAGCAGAGGAGACCCAGGGTTATCAGTCTCCAGCTCCAACCTCTCAGACCCTCCTGGATGAGGGATCTGAACTCTGTGGCCCCACGGACACCCTGGGAACCCATAGGATTTCACAGGAGGCTGGCCTTGGTCTAGTGGGATGAAGGACCTTCTTCCAAGCAGGGCCATGCTACAAAGGCAGAGGCCACCAGGAGAGAGGGAGGAAGTGAGCTTCCCATCCAAGGGTGCTCAAGAATGGGCTGAATGCCCATTTGTCAGAAAGTTCCACACTGGGCTCTAAATGAAACCTTGTGTCCAGGCTTCAGCTCCAAGTTTTGCTTCTGGGTCTTCCGGGCTGCAGTTTCCTCCCCTACCCTCACCCAATCCTGTGTTCCCAGGAGGAGGGCAGCAGTGGGCCTTCTCCCCAGATGCTTACTCAGTATCACTTTCCCCAACACCCAGGCTTCCTCGGTACCTCCCACTGCTCAAGGATGAAGACACATATCTTGGTTAAGGAAAGATGTCTGCCCTCAGACATTAGAAGCTGCTGATTCCAGACAATACAATACCCAATTGGATCACTTGTCCTTTGACCATTAGGCACTCCGAGTCACAGCATAGACACCTTCAGCACCACACAGCCACAGACCCCACATCCTTGCAGACATCCCAGCATGCCTTCGGACACCATCCAGGTGCACACACACAAACACAAACACACATGCACACGCACATATGCATGCATTCTCACTGGTACAGCTCCTTCCAGATTCACAGGGCAAGAGCTCTAGCGATACCTGCACACAGTATATACACAGGCTGTTATGGCCTTCCAAGGTCAATTCTGAAGACCAAAAAGGGGAGGAAGAGCTGATGCCCCAAATACTCCCAAAATAAGGTCTTCCAGATGCAGGCTCTCCAGACTGGGGCTCTAAGGACTGTGCAGAAGGTGGTGCTGGTTTATGTCTATTCCTGCCTGGAGGCAGAGGAGCCAACAAGCTGACCTCCTGAGAGGCCCTGCCCTCGGAGGAGTCTGACGTATGTGCTGTGGACTTGGGAAAGAGAGACCCAGGTGATGGAGTGAGCCTGATACAGGGGGAGAAATTCTTCAAAGCCACAGACTTCAGGCAGCCAAGTCTCCCCATATGCCAGATGAGGAAGCCAAAGTTCAAAGAGAAGCAATGATCTACCTGTGGTCAGCCAGCCAGTCAGGGCAGAGCCAGGTCCAGAACCCAAACCTCTGGATCTCTAGCTCCTGTCTGGTTCCAGCTGAGCATGGGATCCCCGCTCCCACCCTAGTAGGGGCTCAGAAAGAACAGTCTGTCCTTTGTTCTGATTGGTGGACTCCTCAACCTGCCCTTTGCTTTGATTGGGAAATGCCCTCCACTGTCCTTTACTGGAATTGGTGGGTGCCTGTCAGACCGTTGCTCTGATTGTTCAGTTTTCCATGACTTTTCAGGCCAAGCACAGGGTAATAGCAATAAGGAGAGCAGGAAAGGAAAGTTGGGGAGAGCTGGAGCAGCGGCAGGGAAGGGCTTCACGTCCATGCCAGAGTGGACTGGATGATGACGTGACCGACGAAGCCCAAGGCTCTCTGCGGGGATCCTTCAGTCAATCCATCTCCTGGTCCTGCCCAGCCTGCCCCAGGAGTGGAGGGTGTTGGGTACAGGAACTGCAGCTGGGAAGGGCCACTTTAGATGTGGCACTCCAAGGGGCCTTCAAGGCTTGCTCAAATGCCATCTCCTCCATGAATCTTCCCCAGATCTCAAAGCAACCTCACCCCCATTGCATCACCTCAGGGGAGGAAATAGCTGAAATTGCAAAGCCCATGAGATGTGGGCTTAGAGGGCAGAGTGGCTGCGTCAGTGAAGGAAGGAGAGAAGCAGCAGGGAGCAGCTGAGAATGGGAAGTGGGGAGATTCCTGAATTGGAGGCACAGAAGGGGAGCCAGGCTCAAGTAAGGGAGCTTCAATCTTAAAAGGAAGAGGAAATGAAAAATACAGACACAGCTTTACCTGCTCACATGCCCATATACGCATGCCACACAAATATATATTGCCATGCACACGCCTCTACTCATATGTGTATATGCACAGGCCCTCACACAAAACGCACACAGACAGACCAAAGGCAATCACATATTCAACGCACACACAAGGTCACACTTAGGCTTGCACCACACACACACACACAGACACACCAGGCTCAAGATGGGATGAAGAAGGTAACATTTACTGCCTTCACAGCTTTTTGGAACAAATAACGCTATAGATATCAGCATAACAACCAGGCAATTTTCCAGACCAAAGGGGAGAACTTGTGGTGTGTGGAAAAGAGTGGCAATTTGCAGTCCTGTCCCAGATTGACTACAGAAGTTCTGTGTGCCCTTAAGCAGCAGCTTCCTCTTCTGAGACTCAGTTTTCTTATTACTAAAAAATAGGTCTTTCTAGCTCTGCAGCATATAGCTCTATGGTTTGGTGGTTTAATTCAATGAAGCTCGATGGATGAGAGGGTGGGTGGATAGATGAATGAGTGGAGGGGTAGATAGATGGATGGTGGATGGATGGGTGGGTAGATAGGTACACAAGTGGCTGGGTGGGTGGGTAGATGGATAGATGGAGGCTTTCTGCTCTCCCTAGTTCTACCTGCAGCTCTGTTGTCCAAGGTAGGGCCAGTCAGCACCACAGACAGCACCATTCCCAAGCACTTATCTTTCATTCACCCCAGGTACCAAGAAAGGGGAGCCTGTTCTGAGTCAGGCCTCCTTTGAAGCCAGGGTTGGGGCTCAGCCTTGGGCTGGATCTGCATTTCTGCACTTATCTGGGGAGAAGAGAAGGTCTGGACTAAATTACTTTTAGGTCCTTCTTAAAGCCTAAGAGTCTATGAAACCAGAGATCTTGGTCTTATCCCCTCTGGAGCCACAAGCACAAGACCAACGCCCCTCCTGAGGGTTGGGGTTGCTGCCATAAGCTGCTCTCCTGTTTCATCTCCATGAGCCCCTGTGCCTTTTCCCGTCTCCACGGGTTCTCTGGAGCTCTCCCCACTACCTGGCACTGGCCCCATGCCTCCTTCTCTGGAAGGAAGCCTCACAGCAACCATCACGCTGGCCGACAGCAAGACAATAACATCAAACTCAAGAGTCAAGGCTCCAGCTGTGCAGTTGGGACTGTCCGTCCACACTGATTCATGCAACTCTGAGTGTGCCAGGTCTTCTTCGAGGCCCTCTCTCTCTCTGGGCCTTGGTGTCCCCTTCTCTAAAGGGAGGAGGCCTCTCCCTCTCTGTCCATCTTCCTTTTCCTTCCTTTTGGGTGGACCTCCCTACCTTCCTCCCTGCCTCCTTCAGTGGACGTCCACCTATGTCCCAGGCTGCACCCCCATTCCTCTCCGGGAGTCCTGACGTCTTTTCCCACCTCCGCGTCCTCTTCCTCTCAGAGCCTCTCCTCCCACTCTCCATCTCTCTCCTGCATACTTCCTGCTCCCACCTACTCCTGTGTCTCCAGCCCACTCCTCCCACAAACCTCCAAATAGTCACCTTGAGAACACGGGGAGAAAGCACCTGACTCAAGAGGAGCGCCCACAGAATGGGGAACCCAGGAAGGCAGCGCAGGGGACAAACGGGGGGTGCCAGG